CGTTACTGCAATAACATCTGGATGTCAACTGAAATCTGGCAGTGATGGTGTTAATCCTGGTTTGTTGAGCTTCATTGAATCATATAGTCTTGAAAGCCACATACAACAAGATGATACCAATTTCCAATTCAAGGTTCCAGATGGAAACTCTAATGGACCAACTACAGGATTATACTTTGCACAAGGTGAAGGAATCACTGGCTACGACAATGCATATAAAAACTGCAATGCTGGTGATGATAATGCCCACTCAACAGGCGTCGGTGATAACCCAGATGTTGGGTGGGCACTTCAATATGAATGTAACTAAGTTTTGTGAATATCATACACCAGTCCTAAACAATATGACACCTAATGAACAAAGATAGAGAGACGCCAATTTCTGCGCCAATTATTTACGGTAATTAACACCGATGGGTAACTACTCTCCCAATCTATAATTCGGCATGTTCTTATACAAATTACTTCTGAACTAACACATGCAAATGCGTTTGATCAAAATATCAGTGATGTGGGTTTACCAAGTAGATGGATCAGCACTGCTTCAAGGTAAAATAATATTCGTTTTCAGTAATGTAATATTATTAAGCAGATTATAACACGTAACGATGTCACCAATATTCAAGATTAAAAGCAGTAATTGAAAATATACAATAATAATTATACACCAATAAGTGATTTAACGCAACCTACGCAGAATGTGAAAAACACAATGTTAGTCCTGTCCTAATTTAATTCAGGAGCAATACATTAACCCTTTATTTTTCATTTGACAACTTGTTGTAGTCGTTTCCAACACTTTTCCAGTCTAGGTTGTTTCTTTGTTTGTTTGTTTGTTTTGACTTTTTTGAGATATATTCCAGAATACCATTGCCGATATTTGGGGTTGTTTATTGGATGAATAGTTACCTAAAAAACTAACCATTACTCAAAGTATGTGATTGTTTTATTTTTTCAACAGAGTGGCCTCTTATAATTGTATTTTGTATGATTTCCTTGAGAATGTTAAATGTGATGTTATAATATTGGGGCTGTTTTTCACAGCAGTAAATTTCTTAGCAAGTCAACAATTAAGATATGTATGGCACTCACTAACTGGCAGCTGGAGGGGAAAGTAAGAAATTCGCAGTCCACGGATATATTTACCATGCCAAAAACATACAACCTGCACGGATAGTTACAGAACGTTTCTTTAAACTTACTAGTTTCGAATTTAGATTTATTTCTGACTTGCTTTAAGGGTAAATGTATATCAGATGAGAGTGGTTGTAAAGACAAATACATTATTGAGAGTTTGAATCCACCTGCTAAAAAGCAATGTAGCACTGCTATTATCGGGTGCGTACATCCGTGCATTTTTATCGCCTGGCAACCATAACCAGTGAAAACAACGGCCGATAATTCTCAAAAAAAAATGTTTTGCTAGTCGTTGAGACTCTCCTAAACAAGGATACCTCTACATGTGCACCATATATCGATTTGGTTATTCAGTAGTGTGTCATAGTTGTGTTTAAGCTGTTTTCGCAACGTTGGCTTTGTTTCTCCGGGCTGCGTTCCACAGCAGCTCGCACAGAGCTCATAGAAATACATGGTACATCGTCTCAGCAACATGAAACGTTTTGTGACGTAGCTTCACCACTGAGAAATGCAGGTATCACGTAGCATGTTTCATTCCCTAGCACGTGTCACACACGTGCGTCAAAGTGTCTGATATTGTGCCACAGGGTAGCCCCTAGAGCGAGCAATAATTGTGTGTGTACTGTAGTATTTGTAGAAATGCTGAATTGTTCGGGTTACGGGCATCGAGTTGCGAAAATACAGAGTTACACAAATGACCACGTCCATATTTTAGAAACCATGCCCACTTTTAAGAAGCCACGCCTAAATTGAAATTCAATGTTTAAATAAAAGTTAACGGGCAACATAGATTTGTCATTTTAACATTAATAACATATAATTTCAATATTAAATCCGTTTTTCAATTAACTCGCTTGTAACGCTTTGGCAAATTGACGAATCACCAGGTAGTATGGGGACGTTCGCATCATGTAAGTCTTCGTTTCCAAATTGTCAACTAATTGTATAAAACACGATGAACTACACTCTCCATAAAAACAGGGACAAATAAAATCATCTATTTTTTTCTAAACAAATGTTAAATGATTTTGTTTTAATTTTCTGGTGGACATAATTGAAGCAACAATATTTAAAAAAATATGTTTAAAAGTTTTTCGCCTCCTCGGTTATTATCACCGATTGTTGCGCTGTAGTTATTTAAATCGTGGATTTTGGTTTCCACCCTGCCTCTGTGCGTATCAATCTCAGACCAGACAGATAAATTATACCTACTCCAGCGTACATCGGGTTTGACCTTTATGACTTTGGGAATCTTGTGCTATCGTGCTACGAATGTAATAGGTTACAGTTGCCCGAACTAGTTTGCAGGGTATACGTCCTCCCATTGATGATGACTGAATGCAGTATGCGTTCTAATTACCTGGGTAACTCTGGACTGAAAGTATCCAATGTATGTCTGGGTACTCTTACATTCGGTGAAGACCCGGTAAGTGACGACCCTTTGTTCATATGTCCCAAATCACTAACCGTTGTCAGTGAATAATGCAATGCCGCCCCACGAACCATGGGTATATGTTGTTGTTGGCATTAGTTTAATATTAAAAGTACTGTTTTTCCCGCAAATATAGACCAGATTGAATGGGGGACTTCGTGTTGTGACATTTTTTAAATGCTCCACCCTTGGGACACAAACATCAGACAAATCACTCGAGATTGTACTAAATGGTGACAGCGGATGGTGACGCTGGGGCACTAAAAACGGCGATTTTCTCAGATACACGTCTGCCTATACGTATTGCCTGGTTGGGGTAGGGGGTCAAAGATGTCATTGACTGAAGCACTATATATAAATGAATACATATTAAATTTGTGGTTAAAACAAATGTTTTCACAATACTAACTCGTGGCTGTAACACCATATACAGTTCAGTGTGCCACACCAATTAATCAATCTCGCTGCTTGACAAGCTTATCAAGGCATAACCTGATGACATTTATCCGCTAATATATGATGCCACTGTTACCAACCTTACCGAAAGGGGCGTTTTCTGTAAATGCTGGAAAGGACCAGACCAGAGCCCAGAATTTCAATTGGATATTAAGCAATTTAAAACATATCGGAAGCACTTATTATAAAAAACAACAACAACAACAACAACAACACTGCAGTCTAGAATGCCAGCAAATGTAGTTATGCCATGCCTACCGATTGTGTCCAGCGATCGACGTTAGCGGCGCTACAGTATTGCAGAAAGGCATAACAAGACAGCGATGTAAAGCAGCGTAAAATGAAATATTTTGTGCGTGTGTATGTGTTTTGTGAATCTTGATGACTATGAGTAAATCAATTCATCCTAATAACCCAAAGCCGTTTAAATTTAGCCAAGATTTCTTCATTATATATAAATAAATATATCCCGCAACACTTAGATAGAAGGCGAATGACAATGACAATTGCCGTCTATTCCGTTTTCTTCAAGCTCCTGCTATCTTCCCATCATCATTAAGACCTGCATGAAAATGTATTGCAGCAATATACTTGATATTTTGTGAAGAATGCTTCTTTTTTATGTGTTATTAAAAAACCCAAAGCTATTTCTGTGGATGGAGATGATATGTTGTGTATGGTAATTAACAAAATGATGTTTATAGTTAGTGTCGCAGGGCACCATTGCATCCTACTATATTATGAAATGCGAATTCCAAATATTGATCGTTTACGCGCATAATCGTCTTCTTAATAGAAATATGGCAGCCTCCAGCGCGAAGATTTACCGGACACCAGATAATAAATTTCGTTAAATCCGTTCTAAACTTTATGGTTTTCGGCATTCCCATGATGTACCCTTGAGAGGAAAAGATGTAGACCGTAAGCGTTGGCATCAACCTCCGCTGCGCGTCAGTCGATACCACCTTTGTACTGTGCATACTCTGCGGTGTCCTCGTAATAACCTCATAATATTTTTATATTTGTGTTGTTTCAAAAATCCGGGTTTCTTCTCCAGAGATTTCCTGTCTATTGTTTATTTGTATATTTTGTCTTTTCCATTGCCATGCAGGTTATGTATACTTCTGTACTAGTCGGTAATTTGGGAATTGGTGTTTTTGGTATTAGTGATTTTCATGGTTTCCGATACTTAAATTTATTGACATATGTTTGCTTTACATTACCAAACTGTTTTATTATAATTCTATAATTGTTATTATTCTGAATAAGGGAATTCTACCTGGACATAGTCTTTCCGCCACATAGACGTCCATGACACAAATAGATCGCCAGGCACCGGGCCTGTGTGTAATACTGCGGGAAATTTCATTTCCGTTAGTGCTTCTTATGCTCTAAATTGCTTAATGTCGATCTGAAATTTTGAACTCTGGTCGTATTTTCTGATTTTGCGCAACGAAGTATATTATTATAAAGGTCAGCACAATGAATTTTGAAGTAAATATCTACTCTTTTTAATTCCAGTTCGAACACCGTCTGTTTATAGACATATTTCAGACATTCATTGACCGATCTCATTCAAACTTTTACAAAACAACAGTACATCATATTTCACAGATGCGTTCTTGTTATTTGAAGAACGGAACAAAAATGGCCGACTGATGGCTATTTTGAATGTAAGATTTGCTATTTTTGATTTTCGTACGTGTCAGCATAAGTAAATGAATAAATATATGGTTATTGTATGATAACATCATCTTTTACCTCGTACCTGGGCCGTTATCTGTTTCTGTGCCGTTTGTGAAAAATTATGTTGCAATGGTGCATGCAGGATCAAACACCAATATGACAAGTTCGTGGGTAAATAAAAGCACTGGTGCGCCATATTGATGTCTAAATCGAGATAACCTCCACTTGCTACACGATTGGAATTACGAAAGTCATAAGATTTCAGCGATTCTCGGTTAATAGGTTAACTGTATGTTTGGTTGGTCTTTGAAAAGCTCAATTCGTTTTCAAAACGGCTATTCTGAGCTAGTACACACGGAGTAATACGTTATTCCTTGATTTTTCATAATCTATCAATTTACGAAATACTTACTTTTTGAGACATGAATGTGGCCATAATGTTTTATAAATTTGCTTACATTTACATGTTTGTGAATATTAATAAACAGGTTTGTGTTTGGTCTTGTGAAAGGTTCTGAAATAGTATACATGTACAATTGTTTTTCATTCCTGGTAATAAAACATGTTAGTCCGGAAAAACGTTTTAACATGTTAATTATTTCTTAGGAATTGTGGATTTTATTCAAACTTTGGATGAATATTACAGATGATTTTTTATGCACACCTGCTTTGTAATTTGATCGCTATATTTAATTATAATCTACATCTGTCATTGTTAAATTGGCACAGTAACTAAAAACTGGACGGGGATTATTTCATTGACAATTTACAGAAAACTGAAATGACTAGTGTCATTCATTTTTCAGACTGGTCTGAAACATCTCTGGTTACTGTGACTGAGACATACTTCAGATGTGTTTTATTCATGTTTCAGGCACTTTATCTACTAGTTTTAAACTAGTATAATATCGAACGACTGATGCCCACAATTGTTTGGAACATAAATGATTTTGATCTAAAAACACACAGTTAAAGCATGTTTGGAACATGTTCGTAGCTTGAATAAAACATTTTATGTAAACATGTCTGAAACATATTGGAAATATAAATGTTTCAGACATATTTAAAACATGAATACACTTGGTGATCACAACGAACAAAGACACCGACATCAGTATAAAGATTCAGCTTTTATTCCCAACAAAATTCCCAAAATAAATCAAAGCTGAATAAAAAACAAATGATTTAATGAAAATCATGTTCATACATTGTAGATTACATTTATCAAGTAAATCTGATATTTAGAACATTCATTCCTATGCTGAATAGCACATGTCAATCGTCATAACTCATTCCATTGTAATTTCATTGAAAATTACTTGACTCAAACTGTCCAACAAATCGCTACAGCGTCTTAGTTAAGTTCTAGATGACTTCAGGTATTCCTTGCCGACAATTTGGTATGACGAATGGCAGCTTAGTGGTAAAATTTCACCGTTTCTAAACCCCTACCAATCCAACATGGTCGACTCAAGATCTCACAAAACCCCGTGAGATATTGTGAGACTTCATGCAATTAGATGCCTCAAAGTTCGCAAATATTTTAAGTTGTTTTGGGACATATTTGAGACTAGTCTGGTAAATGCCAATAACCAGTTTTGCAGTTTGAATAAATTTCATGAATTGCAAGGTTTTAAAATTTACTGAGGATATCCAGGTCATTTTCAAGTTTAGTCTGAAACATGCCTGCACCTAACAACCTAGTTTTGAACTAGTTTGAAAATAATGTTTTTTATCGGAAAGATTTCAGTCATGTTACAAACAAATCTCAATAGCAGTGCACAATGTCTCAGACATGTTTTAGACATGTCTCCTCATAGAAACATAAACGGAATATGTTTCTGACAAATCTGGGACATGTTGCAATGACCACATTTTGGTGAGGGTAAAGTTTAAAGTCACTTTAAGTACACAGTAGCGCCATGTGATCTGAAATTTCCTAACATTTACCTACTATTTATAAGGTATGTGTTGTAAAATCATTAACCGATAAGTTATTAATGCTGCACTGGAGATAGTTTATAATTGTGTGTTCAGACATATAATTGAATGACAGCAAACTTTACACGTATACAAGGTAATACTACCATGGTGCATTACACTCATTGAGAAAAGGCAGTAGAGGGATTATTTCATAATATAAATTTTTATGTTTTTAGACAATGTGTGAAATGTGTTTTTTTAATGTAGCATGAGTTCCAAAAACTATTGAAATATATAGCACATAATTAAAAAACTAAATAATGCAAATGACACAAAATATATCACTGAGATCAGCTTGTAATGACAATTATTTTTAGGCTGAATAAAAATATTATAAATAAATAACAATTATGAATCGTTTTTTGTATTAGTTTAATACATGAACATATTTGTGTGCAGATTGGCTAATTAAACTGCCGACTTTTATAAACTATCATTATTTTCCACACAAACAGGATCAATGTACTTAGTATCCATACATCTGAGCAAATTATTAGAGGGTAACAAAACATAACGATTATGATTAATTTGTTTGCGAAGTAGCAGTTCAGCGAATCAAAATGCAACAGTACATATGTACCAAGTTTCAATGCATTTGAAAAATTAAATAATTAAGTAGCATGCAATAGTTTGCTATTGCTAATTATTTGGACAGATTAATTGCATTCAACTAAACACAATATGTAGGCTCCAAATTTCTTGCCAACTAAAACAAATATTGTTACAGAATTGAAACAGAATAAAAGACCAGAAAACTGTTAATTAATGTCTTCTTATTAATATGCACAGCGTAATTTCAAATAATTACCAGTTCTTAACTACGCAATCACTATACATGCCAATCTGTTTGAGAAATTTTAAGAAAATATAAACAAAAATTGGCGGCTACATGAACGTTCAGAATACATGTATGATGTGAACGTATATCAACTTCACTATAATATCATAGTTAGTTACAAGCTTCAATTTCAATTGTATCAGTCATTTGCATGCGTATTCAGTAAAATGTTTCTATACTGTATTTTATTCGGTTTGTTAGTAGTGTCCACGTATTTATAGTCAAAATAAATTGTACCGTAATGATCCAACACACAATGAATGCAATTTTTGGTTGTGTGCGGTTTTTATATAAAGGGACAAAATACAGCTTCTGTAGTTTGATCTTTGTGTTGAAATAAATACTATACAGTGTCATGCGTAAGCAATACAATATTCGGCACTGGTATAGCAGGAGTAATTCAATCAACTATATGTACTTTTATGTTTTCGTTGCAGCTTGGTCGTCCCGGTCAAGCCAATGAAGAACTATCACACCAATTGATAGATCGTTTTGTTGAAAAGGGTGGTAATTATATCGACACAGCAAACTATTACCAGTTGGGACTTTCCGAAAAAAATGTAGGATCCTGGCTAAAGAGGTTTGTATAGATATTGAAATGATTGATTATTAAAAATATTCCATCCTTCCATATATTACATATAATTTGAAACATGTTAGTAGTAGTTGTTATCGTCTTCAGTGTCAGTATCGTAATTGATTGCTATAAACGAAAACTGAGTTGACTGACAGAAACTGAACGCAATTGAAGCATGTAAATATTTACTGGTTCAACGGTACACCACCCGATAATATTAACTCTTTTTTAATCGTTTTTGTTGTAGGAGACAGGACAGAGAGTGATTAGTTATCGCAACTAAAGCAAGAATGGGAATGAACTTAGATGATCCTAATGGCATAGGTCTAAGTAGGAAGCATATAATATGGTCTGTGGAAGAGAGTTTAAAAAGGTTACAAACAGACTATATAGATTTATACCAGGTTGGTGTTTACTGTAATAATGTTAAATAGGATAATATTGTCATTTAGTCATATTCAGTCATTTTGATTTGTGTACTAATGAACCAGCATATGAATGTCTGATAAAAATGTTTTGCTCCCTGATCAACAGTGCCACAACACCAATATTCATTATGTTCGCATTTTTATTCAATCTTTACATCATTTGTGTTTTGTGTTAATCTTTAAAGCGTCTATCATTATGTTATAATTTTATCAAAATTGTATCTTGTTGTTTTCAATTTTATCTTCTTCTATCAATGCAAAAATCTATCACGTAAATCTTCTCACATCGACACTTTCTTCTTTGAAGTAGACCGGGGATGTGAACGGAATTGTGCAGTCGTTCTTCATTTATTATATAGTTATATTGAATATAAAAATACGTCTATAGATCAAAACGAGATCCACGCAATGAAATGTTTTTCTCAATCATTTACACGTTATCGACACAATGTCTATATAGCAAAGATGTATCCGATTCTCTATTTGCGTTGTGTTCAGATGCATATTTGGGATGCAGCTACACCTATTGAAGAATCGCTGCGTACGATGGATGATTTGGTGAGAAGTGGTAAAGTACGATATGTCGGCGTCAGCAACTTTAACGGATAGCAGTTACAGAAAACGGCTGATACTTACGGCTTACTCTTGTTTTGCCGATAACCCACAGGTCAATGACATTTTGGATAAAGTAGAAAGGATAGCTAAAGAACAAGGTAAGAGATGCCAGTAGCGTAACACAGGTATTTATATGAGTAATACTGTAACTTGAGTAATAGTGTAATATGAGTAATAGTGTAATATGAGTAATACTGTAACTTGAGTAATAGTGTAATATGAGTAATAATGTAACGTGAATAGTAGTATGACAAGATAAGCATGTGAATCATTATCTTTGTAGTATATACTGGTAAATAATTAGTTTTTGTGATTACTTAAATAATATCAAGATAACAACCGGTGTATCCGATATTTTATAAGTGAACTATAATGCACGAAGTGAATCTGACACAAATATTATAACTTCTTGCAAATTCGCATGAGACAACACTGACAATGTCATCAAAATATTGTAATAGTGTAATAGGTTCAATACTGTAATATGATGAATAGTGTAATATGAGCAATAGTGAGACATGAGTGATTGTAACATAATGAATATTGTGACATAACTACTAAATGTAACATGAGTGATACAAAATAGCGTAATATGAGTGTAACAAGAAGAATGCGAGATGAGTAGTATTACTGTAATATGACCAAACGTCTACTATAAACAATAGTGTAAAATGTGCAAATCAGTAACATGGAGAATAGTGTAACACAAGTAAGTAATGATTCCTGTAATGAGTAATACATTTATATGAATAATAGTCACCAACGCCCCCAGAATTAAATTATAGACGGGTAATACAGTAACATGAGAAATGGTGTGACATGAATAAAAGTAGAATAGTGTCAAATTAACCATAAGTCCACTGAAATACTGAATACTATTTGTCTTAGTTCAGTGAAATCTTAATTTGTCTTGTTACATCTCCCATAGTCATATTTTTACTTTCTTGCTGTTATAGGAAAGAGTTATAGGAACAAGTTTCCCTGAGATGGTTACTCCAGAAAGATACTGTGCCATATGTAGTTATTGGAGCAAAGACTTTACAACAACTAAATGAAAATATGGGCGCTTCGTCAGGATGGGAACTAAATGATAGTCCAGGTAACTACAAAACAATAAAGACAAATGACATGTGTTTCATTTCTCAACATATCGACTTTCCGATATACAGTATAATTTATTTGAATACTTTGTTATTGGTCATTGTAATTTGCATATTTATTTGACAAAATACAAATGATTTGTCATTGGTCTAGGGTTGTAGGCATCACATGTTGTAGTCATCTTATCCAATTAGACCAATTTCTAATGAGATAACATACATGTATGTACTATGATCAAAAGAGATTGCGCAATTCATGTTACGATTTATATGTATGACTGTATGATTTACCAATTAACATACATGTATGTGCTATAATCATAGCACATTTACGATTGATATTACCATATATGGAGTGTATACGATTTACCAGTTAACATATGAATGTGCTATGATCAAGACAAATTGTACAATTGATATTAGCATATATTACCAGTTAACATATCATATTCCATGCAATGTGATATTAACATACAGATTCTACTAATGTGTTTAGTACTTAGCCTATTACTTCTATGGATGAGTGAGCTTGATGCTGCCAGTCAAATGGAGTTGTACCCATACAAGATGATTACAAGAATCAACATGAACAGACACAGACAATATATCTGCAAATAATAAATCACCATTTCATACTCCATATTAGGCAGCCACATAATTGTATTATGAGTGCAAATTGTATTGCACCATATTGTTATTTTAAATGTACTGATAAATAATAATGTATTATAATTATAATTGTTATTTAACAATTGAAGTTTATCATGTTTGGATGGTCGAAAGAGTTTCTTAAGTGGATGTGCAAATAATTTAATGTAATTTACGAATTTCGCTGTCACTCACTCTCTTTAGATTTTCTCGCCTAAATTTGTCTGGATTTTTTTATTATTCAATATTCTTGGAAATGAACCCCTTCTGAAGCAAAGAGCCGATTATAAACGGAACTATTTTGTGAATTTGTGACGAAGGAACTGGTGGTGAAAAGATTATAAAACTGAGCTGTCACTGCTGCCAATTAGCCAATGATTATACGGTGAATTAAGAAATAAGGAAAACAATCCTATTCACTATCATCTAATTTACATACCTTATGAATAATACATCAACAATTATACATAAAACAAAATGGCAATTGCCATGTTATTATTATAAGACAAAAGGTTATATTATATTTCTGTAATCAGAGTAGTTTGTTCAACATTTTTTTTTAATGAAAGCACTGTATAATTGTATGTGCATCTGTAAAAATCACCATCAGTTTATATAAAGTGCTGAATCATTGGTACATGCGCCTGTACATACCAACGACCGAGTGCTCTTGAGCACTTGAACACTCCATCTATAACAAATATTCTTGCATGCGTTATATAGTTGTAGCTTTGAACTGCTTATTAAATTTTATGAAGGCATGAATGTATTCTATATAAAATATTTATAAATGTTGAAAACAACTTGACCAATCACAATCCGTTTACAGATGTATAGCAGTAAACCGGCTATGTTGATTCTTGTTCTACTGGTAGCCAGCACTGACTTGACATAAGCATCACATAATTGTAGGGCCCACGAACCTGAATATACTCATTAATGATATAATGAATAATTATCTACATCTAGCCATAACGACGAATCACACACCATAGTCGGCATAGTTGTTGCCCGAATTTTTTGACTTGATTACCTTCGAGACTTAATTTTACAAGACTACATTACGGGAAGGTGTAAATAACCTGCCGCTCTTTAAACATGGCGGACAGCAAAATGTTATAAGTTACGCCTATATACTTTCAAGGGGTGAAAAAAATGACAAACTTGTCAGTGCAAGTGTATACTTGCAGTTGCATCCTTTGGTTCATCGTTTCCAACTAAATTTCTTAGCATGGCCTTCGTCACAGACTATCTAGTGTACCGACCTTTTTGGTAGGTTGTTGTGAGGATGCTGTTAGGCATTGTAGACACCAGTACACTCCCGCATCATACAAGTAGATAGATATTTTCTAGATATTTTCTACCAATTGTAAAAGTGTTTTTTGCTGCTTTTACGTTGATTACGCTGGTGAGGACAAAGGGTCATAAACCAGTGAGTTCAAATCTGCTGAAATTAAACCGAGTGAATATTTCTCAACATACGTTGAGCTTTAGTTTAGAGCTTAATATTTAAATTGAGTACTTAGTTGGGTCAAATATTTCAATAATAATACTACCAGAGTGGTTCAATAGACCTGATATTGTAATATTAACTCCTGTGATTCTGCTCACAGTTTGCTTTTTTCATTAAAAAGCCAATTTTTTATTTTGGTCACGTAACTTGCTATGGGGAATTCAATTGTAGTACAGAACTTGTAAATATTGACTTGTAAAGGTGGTGGAATGTGTCCGATAGGAAGGTGTACACATGTAGTTCAAATGTATTGCTTTTATTTAAACACAAATCGAACGCACTCGCCTTAAATGACTACTGTTTGTTAATTATGGATATGTTAATGCAGTTCTTTCCTTTCAAAATCTTACCTCTCAACCGTTTATGCTACAAGATTTTGTAGCTCATAACATCACGGTCCAGTGACGTGTAGTGTAGTTTTTGAATAAATAATAACATGGGTGTAGTTACTTTATAATCTAATATGATTTATTTCAGTTAACATTGCATCATGGGTAACTCGTCATCATGTTGCCAGAAGAATGGCATGTGGTTATCGTTGGGATCGGGTTTGCCGAGTAGTTAACCCCATACTACAATCAATTAGCATAAATCATGACGTCTCAATGGGATATGTGCATAAATTAGCATGAATTGTGGTAATGCCCATACCAGGAAGTCTGAAGAAAACGTCACAATGGGATGGTGTCATAAATTAGCATACATTATCATAAACGGCCGTGAAGGGAAATTTTGATGATGACGTCACAATAGGGATAGTTTGAATACATTTGAATAAGTTAAATATGTTTAATTCGAGGGAGTAACGAGCTCGTAGTGAATAAATTAGGATATTTTTTTAATCGGACGAGCATGACGTCACACTCCGAAAGAATTTTATAAATTAGCCGTAGATGGCGCTCAAATACACGCACACACAACTATTCGCACATGAATAAAATACAAGGTTTTTTGCAAACTAA